GACTACCTAATATGCCACACCAGACATTGATTTTTTGAGGGTACTGGGTATGGACCTCTCGGAAAGTAACGGCAATTATGCCTATTCACAGCTCCATTCAGAAAAAATGTACTCTCATCGGAAAAGCACGTGTTGAATGATAGGTGCGGATCATCAATTAGTAGCTGGCTCAGTTGTTCACAAAATTGCAGCCTTCTATCAGGATCATCTTCGTTGAGTTGTACGGATGAAATTTATAGGCTTTTAATATCCGTATTATGGACGAACGGGAGACACCTGAGGCTGCAGCAGGCTGACGGGTACTTTGAGTATGATCCAATTCAACATGTCCCAAAACAGCGACTTCCACTGCTTCATTTCTGATCGGTTTCCGTGGCTGGTGTTTCACATTGCAGACAGATCCGGTATCGACAAACTTTTGGACTAACTTGGCAACGTACGAATCATTCACATTTTTCCCGGGATGACTCTTATTAAAGAGGCGAGCAGTAAGTATAGCACAACTATTATGTTGATAATAAAGTTTAACAATTTCAACTCGTTCAGGAATGGAATAAACCATTTTTACAGTAAAGTTGAAATAATTTGCAACCGAACTGAATCAATGAACGTTTGCCTAAATTCTTTTTGTACACTTATCTGCTGTTGTTATTTGAATCAAAAAACGCACGAGGAATGTAGTAGTGATAAAAATGCCGTTTTTTCCGCATTTTCATTAACACCAAAAATATTGAGTAAATGTTCTTGCTTTTTTTATAACTATTCAGGTAAATACAACAAATTAGGTATCATTGGAAAGAGAATTTTATGCCCTTTCAAATGATATATCACTCGACCCCACTTTCTATTTAAAATTTTAGGGTTGTTACCCACCCTCGCTAGGGGGTTGAAGGCACAGGTAGAAAAATACTTCTAAAATGTGTCCCCCTCAAAAGCAAAATTGACCTGTCCGAGCATTTCTGCATTAAGCTACAAAAAAAGAATAAAAGCAAGGTGCATACTTTTCGTTGGACCACTCGATATGACTTCACTTTTGTAACCTCAGAATATTCTGAATATTCCACGAAACAATTCCAATCGACGAAAACGTTTACGACTAGTTAATAAATGAACTCCTTCCATACCGGAATACATTTTCTAGAATGCGTAATCCTCTCTCTTTAACAAATTATTAACTCCAAGCCTTCTCATTCAATATTCAATATGAAAGGAGTGCCAGAGAAAGTACTGAAATATTCAATGGAAGCCACACAAAAGCAATTGTTAGTTATTGAGGAACATTTGGTCTCAACTAACCTCTGAAAACAAAATTGTTTCATGGAGGAATTGCTCAAGGCTCGTCTGAATATTTCATCAGGAATAATTTGTACTGTAGGAAGGGTTCCTAAATATTTGGTGAAAGTCATTCACCATGTTCAAGTCTGAGTAATGGGATACAATGAAAAATGGAAACAATTATTTCGAAGGGTCTTTCCAAATATTTTCATTTTTACAAAAGATGAGAAAAATACTCAATTTGAATAAGAATCAACGGTCTTTGTTGAAAACTGAAATCAACTTATATGAGATTCTGCTGAGAAAACTTCATCTCTATGGTATTGATGGTATTACTCATAATTGGTTTGAATCTTATCTATCGGGTAGAAGTCAATGGATTAAATATACAAACAGATGTTTCTGACATATCTAACGGAAGTAGGTTAGGTCCAAAATGAGTGGGTCTATTCGACCATTCACCGCAACCCGCAAGGGTTTATTGTGGCTCACACCTATTCTCACTCGGCCAAACAAACCCAGCTCCTTAACGAAGCCGATTAGTTTGTATGATGAGTGGTATTTCAGGTCAGATGGTAAGAGTACGGCTCTGCCGAACTCTATAGACCTGATTCGGTCCCCAGCGAGGCAGGCACAAAGTATATGCTCTGTTAATGAGGTAGTGGGATAGTCAAGTTGCAAGATTCCTACCTTGATGCCTACGACAAACCTCCCATATGAGGGTTTTTGCACGTCAACTACACCTGACGATGCCTTAGATTCAGCCGTGCAGGGCTTTTTCGCCTCTGGTTTTGGTGCAACCTCACTTGAACGTAAACGTTTGCTAACCTACTCACGGAGGGCTAGTACCCTCACCTGAGATAGATTCTGCGTACGCCGCAGCTCTCGCTCCTGAACTAAATTTATAGAGAGGTGCGTTGGAGTCGTAAACTCGACATCCATCTCCTCTGGAGACTCGCTCCTGAATCAAATTCACAGGGAGGTCAGTTGGGGTCGTAAACTCGACCTTAATCTCCTCTGTAGACTCGCTTCTGAACTAAATTTATAGAGAGTTTCGTTGGAGTCGTAAACTCGACATCCATCTCCTCTGGAGACTCGCTCCTGAATCAAATTTACAGGGAGGTCAGTTGGGGTCGTAAACTCTATATTAATCTTCTCTGTAGACTCGCTCCTGAGCTAAATTAATAGAGAGGTCCGTTGGAGTCGTAAACTCGACATCCATCTCCCCTGTAGACTCGCTCCTGAAGTAAATTTAGAGGGAGGTCCGTTGGAGTCTTAAAATCGACATCCATCTCCTCTGGAGACTCGCTCCTGAATTGAACTCACAGGGAGGTCAGTTGGAGTCGTGAACTCGACATCCATCTCCTCTGTAGACTCGCTCCTGAAGTAAATTTACAGGAAGGTCAGTTGAAGTCGTAAACTCGACATCCATCTCCTCTGTAGACTCGCTCCTGAAGTAAATTTACAGGGAGGTCAGTTGGAGTCGTAAACTCGACATCCATCTCCTCTGGAGACTCGTTCCTGAAGTAAATTTAGAGGGAGGTCCGTTGGAGTCTTAAACTCGACATCCATCTCCTCTGGAGACTCGCTCCTGAATTGAACTCACAGGGAGGTCAGTTGGAGTCGTGAACTCGACATCCATCTCCTTTGTAGACTCGCTCCTGATCTAAGTCTATAAGAAGGTCAGTTGGAGTCGTGAGGTCGACATCCATCTCCTCTATAGACTCAGCGGGTCTATAAAGGGAGAGAAAGTCAATCACAGCAGAGCCCCGCATTACCGTGACAAGGCGATGCTACGAAGAGAGGGCGCCCGGTATCTCGAAGGTTCCGTAGAGACAGCTGATATGCTCAGTGCCATTCATTCTCTCGGCACGGACACACACACATCTCAGGATTAAGCCATCGTTGGGATGCTATTCAGTTAGGGAATTCCCGTATCCAGCGGGCCTACATGGAAGCAGGCATCCGATGTCCAGTTTGCTCAACCACATCCCAAGTCAATGCACTCGCCAAAAACAGCATGCACAGTGGTTCAGGCAGTGAAAAATGAACGAGGACAGCCAACTCGCCTATATATCTAACGGAGTACTACAAGGCTCAGTACTCGGACCTATCCTATTTCTACTCTGTATCAACGACTCGACTACCATCGATATGAAGGGTAAATTTACTTTATTTGCCGAAGACACTACAATATTATGGCACAAAAACAACACTTATGGTCTTCTAATACCATCTGCTCTAATATTTTCAAACTCTCAGATTGGTGTAAGGCAAATTTATCAGCTTTCAATTTCCCGAACACCAAAGTTTTATCATTTAATTACATTATTGATAATATTCCTCTAGCTTAGAATTCGAATGTGATCGAGAACACGTCATGCAACAAATTTCTTGGGCTATTAATTAATAATAAGTTGAAGTTTGAGGACCACAAACTATCACTTAACATAAAACTTTCATCTAACGAACTAGAACTAACTGCAGCAAAATCTGTCTATTATTCATTAGTAGAATCATATCTAAGATATGGGATCCCCTTTTGAGGGGTAAGTAATCTAACTCGACTCGAGTCGATTTTTATTCTGCAGAAAAGGTCATTAAGATTCCTCTATAGAGCGGCGAGATTCTTGTAGGCCTTTGTCGCAAACAAAATTTTATCACTGTTTGCTCTATTCATTTTAGTGCATAAACATAGAACAGAACTTCTCTCAATTGTCTCTTATTACACCACACGCCGTACCCTAAATTTGAGTCTTCCTATTCCTAACTCTACTTTAACTAAAAATTCTATATTGTATAATGGTCTTAAGGTGTATAATAATCTTCCTAACTACCTGAAATGCGTCTATAAGTCAATCTTCAAAAAGGAGTTATCTGAGAGAGCATCTCCTAGTTTTTGGGTGCAGTTAGTACCCTGCAATCATAGCAAGAGGTCTTTCTAAAATACGTCACCGAAGGCATACTTACATACTATTGTCTGACTATGAAGGTATTTGCAGACTGACTACCGATCAGGTCCTCTCGAAATTGAGAAAAGTTTACAATGGTCTTTCAGCTTTGGAGAGGAGGAAATTCAGGCCTTGGTAGCAAAACCTGCTCATACTCTGTGCCTGCTCCGCCACAGACCAGATCAAGTTTTCTGCATTTTGCAGAGTCCCACTCTTTTCAACTGATCTATCACTCACCATGATTCGGTTTCGTCAGGAAGTTGAAATCATTGAAAGAGTTTGGAAAGGAGTGACTTCAAATGAACTCTTGAGAGATGAAGAGATGAGGAATGACTCCGGCATATCCCCCTGTGCTCCCAATATCCTGGCCGGAGAGAACGAGAGTTTCTTCTTCGGGATTCTTGTAGTTGTTAGGTATGGCTCCAGGAATATGTGTTGTATTATTGGATAAGCTAAGAAAACAGTATTTCATTTTCTGTTGATGGGATTCCAAAGAACTTGTTATTGTATGATTTTGCTGAACTGAAATCATGTCTCCATTATCCCCTAGGTATTTTTTTAGCTTCCTCATCCGGAATGAAGGAGTTGGCAGCATTTCAATCTACTTAGTAACTACTCATTTCAATTTGGCAAAAGTCAGCATGATGGTTCTTTGAATATGAACTATCCCGTGAATTTTGAATCAGAAGTTGATCTATAGATGCTACACAGCTATAAGTGCTATTATTTGTTGTTCATTAGTGAATGAATATTTAGTAACGATTTTTATTCTAGTGCCAGGAGCAGCATGTTGTCAGGGGATGAACCAAACAAGCCTTTTACTAGAAAGTCCTCCGAAGTGGGGTGCAGCAGCTCGTTATGCCTCGAAACAACACCGAAAAATTGCAGGGCGGGCTACATTCCAAGGGCAGGTTTATAATTTCCTTGAGAGGCCTGACAACTGGAAATGTTTCGTCTATCATATTATAGTGTGAGTATTTAAACTTGAAATTGAATGTTTCCTCAAGGCATGGTATACAAAGAAATTGCATGATTTTACTTCCAAGTGGAAATTGATTATGAAACATTCATCCTATATCACCTGAGGAGCAAAGTTTTGATTGGTTGAATACTTGCTCATTGTAAAAATTAGTATGAAGATAGTTATTTGTCGGATTCCGATTTGTGTATGGATTCTCTTCTCTACAAAAATATACCTCTAGGTAGCAGTTTATTTTCTTCACAGTTACTGTCTTCTCCAGAATTACTGTCTTAACATGGGGTTACCAGACCATCATCTGGTTCATGAACGTAAGAGTATGAAATAAAAAACATAGGCTTCAATCAACCAAAATCATTATTGAGCAGAACATCAAGGTGTGAAAATCGTAATAGAATATGATCCGGAGATGTGGAAGGTGTGAAAATCGTAATAGAATATGATCCGATGTTTAGCAGTGACGATGACAGTGTTTCATGTGTGTGAAATTTTTCTTCTTTCATCAATTATATTGTGTAAGTATCCTGTGAATATTATTTGATTCGATCCCATAAGAATATTTGAAATACAAACGGAATAGAAAAAAGTGTTTGTCGTATAATTCAACGTTCATATAAAAGTATCCGTTTAGAAAGTTACTTTTTTCATGTAATTGTTTATACGAAAATAGCTGTTTCGAAAGGGCTTTTTCTACCAGTTTGTGTCTGAAAGTTACTTCTTTGCATGATATACGCATCTTTGTATAGAGTTAAGTTTTGAAATTGATTGCTTCCTCCATTTCTTTGGAAGATTTCCACAATTTTTGTATCATGATGGAGATGTAGAAGGCCAAAAACTTTCTTTCCCAAAAGTTAATCTCTCCTAAAAATATACCCCTTCGATTTAATCATTATTTCATCTTGAATACCAGTGATATTAGAACTATCTCATTCGATTTCACTGAGAGAAATATCAGATGAATAGAATTCATCTACAGGAGAAGATATATTTTTTCATTTCTGACTTTACGTGGATTAAACTTTCTTCTGACACCTCCAGCCTTCATTTTTTCTCCACTATATTTTTGTCCTCGGAATCATATTCTATCTCCGTTTTCTCTGTCAGAATTCTTGTTCATACAGGCTTTCTGTAATATCTCAAAAGAGTGATTTTGAGTTCCCTGTGGGACTGATGGAATACAAAATGGTCACTTACTACCTGGTTCATCCAATGTGTCTTTGGACATTTCGCAGCATTATTCTTGATGTAGATTTTCTTCCATTTTCGTCAGCATATATATAGGCAAGCTTCTTTGTAGAAAAAGGTATGCCACCGTAATGCAGGTCGGTTAACAATATCTCCATTGTGAAAAGATGAAATTGGGTATGAAAGATAATTTTCTGTCTTTATGGATATGGTTAACATAACCTCACAATATGAAAATTGTAATGGAAAACTTTTATACAAGTGTAGTTATATTATACTGCGCGAGTTCAAAGTATTATTCACAAAGAAAAATGTTCTATTTATCAGTAACTTGTCGTATTCAATAATTTCTCCTATAAGAAAAAGCTAAGAAACGAAGCCCAAATTCTGCCTCCGTCTTTCGAAATGAACAAATTTCAAGTCTATACGCAGCTCTTCCTTTGCTGATTTATTTTCATTTCTAACTTTTTTGACAGATGACAAAGGAGTTTTGAAATGTGAATTATGTAATGTTGTTGATTGAACCTTAAAACATTTGATGTAGTACAAGGTGTTTTCTGATGTCAGTCTGTTGCTATTTCACTACTATCCATATTTTGGGTAGATAAGTAAGATCTATTTCTAAGGAGCTGTTCAAAATACACTTTTCCCCATATATGAGAATATACGTTTTGTTCCAAAATGAGTGCTGACAATTTTGATCCAGTTAATTTCTGATGTAATCTCGATGTTCATTCCCACGCACTTTCAATGGTCTCGAAGTTTCACCAATATAACTTTTGCCACAACAACAAAGTATATCATAAGTGCAATGTTTGGTTTTTTTCTTCTATGTTGTTGGGTTTTGTATGTATGAGTATAGATCTAAGTGTATTTTTTGTTTTGGTAAAAGTTTTCACATCATATCTACTTTCAATTCGTCTTATCTTTCCAGATACTTCTGGAATGTAAGGTAATTGTTGAGTTGGAGGTTGTTGAATTTTTGATGCTGTTTGTAGGGTCATTTGGTTTTTAACAAAATCTTCATTTCCTGTTGCATTTATCGTTGAATTGATTTATGAACGAATCTGACTTTTCTATTGAAATTTTCAGTTGATTTGCATATCGTTTTTGATCTGTTATTATACTTTGTTCAACACTGGCATGATGATTTGATGTGTAGTGAAGATATCTATCAGTATGTGGACGTTTGTAACAGAATGATCTGACAACCATTTCAAAATTACATCAAGGAGAAGGAGTTAACCATTATGTTCAATCTCTATTGTGAACTTTATTGTCGGTTCCTATTCCTTGGTATGATTTAAAAATGTATTCAATTTTCACCCACAAAAAATTACTTTTGTTCAATACTCACGAATTCATTAGATCAATTTCATATTTTCAGTTTCAGTTTTAATGTTTCCATTTCTGCACAGCTTTTCTCAGATTTTGGAGGAACTCTTCCTTCTGATTTTCAATTGGAAGAAATCTTCAAGAAAGCAATCACAACTTTGTAAATCATATTTGCGCAATTGAATATTATGTTCGTTTGGGGAGGTGTAATACATGTATCAAACCTCCTTGGCCGAATATTATGAAACCACGTTATGTGAAAATAAAATAATTGGGTATCAACAAACAATAAACATTTTTCACATATAGTCAGTGGGCATACTTGAAGACTGGCTATGAATCAAATCATCTAAAAAAAAACAATTCGTTTAGGCCAGTTTGAACTTTCTACACTGTAGGTTAATGCACTGACACCTATCAGAAAACAGCTACTCCCTGGCTAATACCACGAAGGGCGTTGGATTATATCCGACAGGTGTCATTGCAGGATTCTTCTCTGAAGTTATTCCTGCATATGCTGTTGGCGATACAACTACCGCAATAGATTTACAATTATTGGAACACACTTGCAGACCGGTCTCGGGCTGTTTGGTCAGTGCAAGATAGTGTTGTAATAACTGCCATTGTAATAGTTTACAGAAAATATCATTTTATTCATAACGATCACGATCGGGGTCGTTCACCCGGTTTTTCGATATCGATATTTGTCCAACAGAGTAAGCGGTGAATTTAATTTATGGTTGGTGATCTTTGGCGGCATCATGAATGGTTATGTTTCGTTCAAAGTGGACTAAACAAACATATATCCTGTCGATGGATTATAATACTGGGACGCGAAAATGCAAGCTATGATTTTGCATCTCAGTATCGTGGACAGGAAGTTCGGCCATATCTGAATACGTGGGCCCGAAAATTTATTCAAAACAAAAACTGACCAATGACTTTGATGAAAAGAAGGTATAGGTCTTGTGTAGAAAGGGTTATGGAGAATATTAACCAGAGATCAGACCAATCAGGGGACGACACAAGGGAGGAGTGTTACGGACAGTTTTTCGAACTTGGGAATACTAAGGAGTCGGTTAATTGGGACGGTGGCGATATGACAGTTGGAGTCGGTTAATTGGGACGGTGGCGATCGGACAGTTGGGGGAGTCGGTTAATTGAGACAGTAGCGATCGGATAACTGGGGGAGTTGCGAAAGAGAAGAAAGTCGGTCGCGAAAGTAAATTGCTATAGAGAAGTTGCGAAAATCAGTTGAAAAGTCAGTTGCGAAAAGATTCCTGTTGTTTGTTATTCGCTTCACCCTAGTTCGAGGAATGATACTCTGGAAGAATTCGATTTTCAATTATCGGAAATCATCGACTTTATGTTAATGATAGACACTACCTTGCACTGACGAGTGGCCAAACAGCCCGAAACCGTTCTACAAGTATGTTTCAATAATTGAAAATCTATTGCGGCAGTTCTATCGCCAAAACCATATGCGGGAATAACTTCAGTGAAGAATCCTGCACTGACACCTGTCGAATATAATTCAACGCCCTTCGTGGTATTAGCCAGGGAAGTAATTGTTTTCTGTTAGATGTCAGTCCATTAACCTAGAGTGTAGGGACTTGAGACTGGCCTGAACGAATTGTTGTTTCAGATGATTTAATCAATAAAAAACTGGGTTGATACGAAATTGACGACGAATGATACAGGTCTTGAAAGGAATATATGAATCATTTACATTTGTCATTAGCATTTACGAAACTTCAGAAAATACCTTACATATGAGTCAGAAATATTTACATCGGATGAATTTCAAACACTTTTTCTTAAAATTGCCAGGAAATTATTGTCAGTGGTCTCAAAATACCATAAACGAAATTGAGAGTGACTGATATCTCGCAAAAATAAAGGCAGAATTTGTCCAAAAGCGTTTTCTTGTCATTCTATATGTATATTGATCCTCCCACAGAATTCTCCAACTCTTATATGCATATCATAATTGGCCCCCACAACATACATTTCAAATCTATATCTTAGTAGTTATCGCAAAACTGAAACTATCACGCGATAGAATTAATTCAAGCGACCGCACAGACCGATGAGACATGCATGATGAAGAGAGTTGCAATTCACGTAATAACTTGGGTAGATATACACCTCACTACTCCAAAACTGAAATTGATGTTTGTGAATACACTTTGATCGAGTGACAGACAGAAAAAAGTAAGCAAACAGGTTTTGTCACCCTTGCGAAGCCGTGCCGAGTTGATAGTCATTCATGAATAGAATTCTTGTCTATGGTTCTCTAGAGTGCTGAGCAATTTATTTTGCGAAGTTGTTCTATGATATGTCAATTCCATTAAGAATTGACATTTAAGTTAGAAGTGATAAACATCTTCAAGAGTCGATTCCACGCCGTCATTCAAATAGTTCCTTCGATAAATTTCAAGACACCCTGAAACTAGAATCAAACTGCGACATGAA